CTGCGACCGGATACGTTAAAAAGCACACGTATTCGTAACAAATGTAGGCGTGTGTTGCATTGCGTTGCATTGTAAGCAATCAGATGTAACCCAGTCTCATCACATATGTCTTTACGCGCTAACTTCCATAAATTTACGCACAGTATGACACGTCATGCCGCGAACAATACTTGTAGGATGCTTCCCTGCATGAAGACCATGAAATTATAGCGGTCATGCCACTGAATGTCACAAATAACGAGACATACATCTCGGATAAAGTACACGAATGACCTAAATTCATCATCACCAGACGCTACAGGGCCATCACGCCCTTCATCATTCGCAAATTCGAAGTGAATGTCGGTCGTTATAAAGTTCGATACGAAACGCTTAAGGAAAGTCTGATCAGAAAACTGTATATCTGTTACATATTTCAGCGTCACCTTTGTGCTTTTATCCTATCACTGATTACGTATCGTACGTAAACTAAGTTGAACAGCAACAAAACTTCCGTCCACTGCGATTATACCTGAATCGATCTGACTTCGTTTGTTCAGATATCTATAGTATGACTAACGAAACGAGTTCATCGAACTGACCCGCCTCCATTATGTACATATCGGAAAGTTCAATCAAAGATCTTCAAACATAAACGTGGAGAGATTCTTAAGAAAACTCGTAGATCTCGAGTACTCGATAAGCAGATGATATCGTTCGATGCTTTCAATTAAATCTGAAGGTTCAAAGTCCGACCTAAACAAAAATTGTATACCTTTGTCTTTTATTAAATTTGCAATTAAATTACAGGAACGATTACTATGTATATGCACAGTTGCGCGTTAAACAATTTGAGATAGTAACCATGGCCTCGTAGCATGAATGAAGGTTCATTTATGACGATCCATTTACAAGGTCCATACTGATAGGATTATGACGTAATTTTACGTGAGCCCAACGTGTACATTGTACATACCGAATAGATAAACGGAGTTACGTACAATGTACGAATTACAGATGCCGGGCGGTATAAGTATAGTAACTAAGTTTATGTAATCTTTGTGTGCATAAAAGAATTTCGTAGGAGTACGGAGAATTCTGATAAGTGATGCAACAACACTCCCTCTGATAAGTTATCAGAAATGCATGAATTCTCAGGAATTCGGGGGGAAAATGTCTTAAAAGTACTACAAGATGTAGGTATTGTACTGATAAAAATATTCACGGCTGAATATTAATATTTAGTAATTTAATACTTGGAAATATTATAACCTGATGAAATCTATATAATTACATTAAAAATATTTATTTTATTATAAAACGAAACACACTGTTTGCTGTTACTCGTTCATAATGTGTCAAGACAATGAAATATTATTCATTAGCCTATTTAAATTCATACAGATGTCGTACATAATTATTTCATTCATAATATCAACGAAGTATGCATAAATTTATGCGTGTACAATGTGTACAAGTCCCCTCGTGTTTTAATAATGTATATATTTTGTATCTGATATCGAATGCAGAATATTGCCCTCACTGCTATTGTATTGTAAGAAAATCTCATTTCAGATATCAATAAAAGCTTTCTTCTAACGGACAAAGATGCGTGATCATCTAACTCTTCTAAAAATAGTACTCCGTGAACTCTTTTTAATACTCTTTTTTCATAAAGAGACAAATTCAATGATATGACATAAAAATAATTATCTTTAGATTTTATCGCATTGTTATAAAATGAAATTTTATTAAATTATTACGTTAAATTATACCGAGAAAGATATTAAATCAAAATTTATGACAGATTATTATCGATACGCTTTCAAAGAATACACGTTTTCGTTCTACATGACTAATATCATGTTTGAGGCAAAATGCGTCTCTGAAAAAGAAATAAAAAGCTTTGGCTCATAACCCATGCACATTTCTTCAAGTATTTACAGCCCGCTACTGTTTCTGGAAACACCCTTTGATTCATCAGTACATTCGAGAAACCAGAAAAAATACATCATATAAAAATAGACACTGAATAAATATATCAAAAGACAAGTAGGCACAAAGACGACGTTCTACACTTCTGTGTACACGATACTACCTCTTGGTAGTGCCAATAAAATTCCTTGCACTGCAGTTAATGCAAGAAAACGCAAGCATTAATATAATTTTACACGTACCTCCTTAAATACTAAAAATAAATATTTATAATATTTTACTGTTGACCGTATATCCATTCGTTTCGATTTTCGACGAATCACGCAAAAATAGAGATAAAATATAAGATAGTTAAAAATATCGAAAATCGAATATTAGTTACTTCATAATTTTATGTATGAAGGTTAAATCATTTTCTTAAGAGTTATTCGCTTATCAGCATATGTTACAATAATTATTAAATTTAAATAATGTTTCAAACGTTAAGATACCGCTTCTAATTAAAAACACCACAAAATAAAACATTCTTGATACAAGCTCCGTATATAAATTTTTATTTGTATCATGAGAAAAATAAAATACAAATACTTATACGAAATAAAGAAACTTGTACGATTACATTCAGAAATACAGAAACTAGTTTGACGAACAAACTCGTTTTAATGTCGAATGTATAATTAACTTTAGAACTGAATAGAAGATAAATAGAAACGGGTTTTATTGTGTACTGGGCATAGTATACGCTGGACCCATTAAAATCCTGAACACATAACGTGTATTCCCCATCTACAACTTTCACAACCTACGTCCTACGTTAACCATGACCTTTGAGCTGTCCGCTGGAACAATCATTCACTAAACTTAATACAGCTCTTTGTACGTTAATGTCGCTAATAAAAAGCAAATATATGTATGTACAATGGAAAATTCATTACTCATTACAGCAACAGCCTCCATGTATATTCTTACCAATTTCTTCTATTACTTGAAACGTTTATAACTTATGAATAAGCAAAACTATGCTGGTATTCATGTTCAAGGTTATTATTCTATCTCTATTTTTATTCTTATTTTATATGCATCGCTATAACTTGCTAATGTCTACTGATAATGTATAATGATAAAAAGCAGATTCTGTGCTGATAATGAGCCATCTTAAGCAGACCTGAGTATCAATTACAAGATTTTGTAAGATAAATGTAACATTTTTTACATTGAAGAACAGTTTTATAAAACAACATAAGTTCCTTAGATTTACACGTAAACCTCTAACAAAGTTTTAATTAAAGAAGGAATACCGTTAACTATTTGTTGCTATTTCTACACATGTAAAAAAGTTGACCGAAATAAAAGATGTTTGAATTGTGGAAATATGTATTTTAGCAACATTTAGTTCTGAATAACGCAATAAATTATACATTACGTAACTCCGCGAATTTATTGTTTAAATACGTTAGTATTCTGAATTGTAATTAAATATCAAGAGCCCTTTATAAAAGTACCTTAAGATAGTTTAACAAAGGATGCTGCAACATTACCTTGTTGACCAGATTGGATTGATTTAAACCTAAACAAGTACCCTATCGACCTGAACAGAATCTTTATTAAGTGCATTTAATGAACGCCGAGCAACTTAAATGATTGTACTGTTAAAACATCGTAATGATAAAAAGGTGGAAATTATGAATAATCCTTTCTTAGTCCAAAAAGAACAAACAAATAAAATAGAAGTTTATTCATTCGACTATCGTATATACGACCAACTATTTTATACAAAAATGATATATTAAAACAGAATTATACGAATTTGTCTATCTGTTATTGCAATTTCGATTTTTTAATTGTTTGTAAATTAATAATTCAATGTAGAGATTAAATAGAAATTTACATTTTTCTCTTGTTTATGAAATATACATGAAGAACTAGAAATGAACTATCTGATTTTCCTAGATACTTAATCTATCAAATTGTCGTGTCATCAAATTGTTACGCATGAACGAATAAATAGTAGTAGAAGCCATGTGCAAGTTGTAATTCTCTCGAATAAATGCTATCCATTGGCTGTCGTTGTTAGCTGTTAGATACGGCAAAGGGGGATCTAATGATCGCCTGCCAGTTTCTTACGGTACTGTAAGTACTGAAAACCGGATACACAGCTTCCAGTGTCATCTTTCTCTCTTTCATGAATATTAAATTACTGCATTTCATCAAAACTTTATGTTTTCTAATCTTTCTCTCGGTTGAGATCAACTAAAAGAGAGATACTTACTCATCTCCGTTAACGCAATAAACGTTCTGTAACTTGAGATCGTAACAGTATGTCAGGAAAAATATGAGAGCAAACACACGTGGCTAGTACGCATAATAAAATTTATAACGAAATGCATCCGTATAATAAAATAATAAAATTGAATGCTACTATTTGACATTTTGCCGAGTAAAGCTTATGGAATAAACTTAAATGTAAAAAAATTGCATTTTTAATCAAAATCGTGGATATTATACTTTCAAGTATTTTCAAGCAGGCATTGTACCAAATAAAAATTCTCTTTCTATTTTCATATTTAAGAATTGTAAATTCTTATAATTTTTTGGCAGAATAATTGAGGGCCACGCATAAATAAGGATGCACGTATCGTTATAAATCATTTCGTTGGTCGTATAAATGCGTAAGCTAAATTAGATTAAATATACCAACAAATAGATATCATTGCTGTTTACTGTTAGCCTGTTCATAGATTTCACATTAATAAAAAATCAATACAAGATACACGCTATACTTAGCTATTCCATTAAACAAATTAACGATTATATTTAGAATTGAAAAATTACTATTAGGCTATCTCGCGGTTTGTAATCCAAGACTAAAAAGCCTAACACACATCTCAAATGTGAAATAACTTTCTGACATAAAATGAACTTATAATTGTCCGTATAAAGATAACATACATTATCAATAACTTATACGAACGATCAACGACTAACAAAATCGTAAAATATTATCCAAGAGACATAAATAACGTTACCTCGTACCGTTATAGACTTAAATATTAAAAGTAAAATGAATTCCATAGAAATTCTCTTACCTGCTTGCCAGCGCGTGGTAAAGTTTCCACATTGGTACCGCCGACGACGGGCGCTTTTTCCGGTCCTCCATTCTGTTGGCTGACATTTATGTTGGTATTAACATTCGCATGTACATTGGCGTTAACATTGTTCACGTTGTCGGTAAGGTTCGTATTTCCCACACCGGCATCCCCGCCAGTGCCAGTTCCACCCCCGCACTTTCCTTCCTCGCCCGTCATCACTTCAGCCTCACCCTCCGCCAGTTCACCCCTGTCTCACCCTTTCGCGTTCCGCGCCTCGAGCCTTCCTTCCGTTCACTGATTACCAATGTCGGTACGCTGGCCAGAATCCGGATATCTGTTCAAACGAGACGACGAATCGTCGATCAGGAGAAACGGGTCAATCTACGGATTACCGAGCTGATTGGTTAATTCTTTGAAATCTTATTCCTCCTGTCTCCTTCGTTGCTGGCACCTTCGCTACTCGTACTACCACGTCTATACAATATCGATCCAACTGGTGACAAAACCAAAGTACTTTGAAACCGATAGGAAAAAGGATAATCTATATACGATTTTTAATCGTATCTTGAAAACTGATTTTGTACTATAATCGTATTAAAAGTATCTAACAGACGAGGTAATGGATTAAATACAACATCGTTCAACGCGCCGAGAATAATTATTCGTAAACGAATTAGAAGAATATACTGTGAAACAAAGCAGAGAAGAGAAATTGAATCGACTCGCAGCGTTTAAATTACGCACTCAACGTAAATATCGAAAAATATTTCCCGAAGCGATTAAAAAAGGATTGATCTGCGACCTGACCTGATTAGCACGTCACGTCCAAACATACCCTTTCTTTCACAGACACGCCACCAGGATTCATTAGAAAATGTAGAATTATTTTCGTTCACTGGTCGCCGCTATTTTTAGGATTCTTAACGTGCGATACGGGTGGTATAACGGTATATGATGAGCTAGCTGTAGCACGTTGCAGACAGACTTCACAAGGCACATGCCGATCGAGAACCAATCGATTAATGCAACGAGTATTCATCGAAGATTAAATAACCGGAACTAAATTGCCATTGGAAATGAAAGTCATGTTTCCATCCACGTTTTAACTACATCACGAATTACGCCCGCGTTCGATCGCGGTTTAATTTTAGCCAATCTCACGCAGGCCAGTTTCCACTGACGTTACCGAACCAGCGACCAAGCCGTCTGTGTAGAACTTGTGATGTAGACCAATCCACTCACGGCGGACTGACTATAGGAAACGCTACCGTTCATCGGGAGAAACTGGGCAAAATAGTTTCCGGTAGCTGTGAGGGACTCGAGTAATCATACATGTAGCTCTATCGTCAGTAGTGGAACCAGGGAAAATCGATTCGGCCGTGCCCGTTTGAGCACTGCGCGCTTCTCAAGTGTGCGAACCGCCGCGATAAAAGCAGTCACGTCGCGCGGGACGATCATTTTGACTTTCAAAATCAAGTAAGTAATGTTCCATACACCAGCACCAGCAGAAATCGACATGTTTTTTGGTCAAAAACACGATAGAATAATAAATATAAAATCTGGAAGAAACATTTTCTCGCTCCTGTTTGATACATTCGTGTCAAGCAAGAAGAAATTCTATAATTCAAAAGATGAAATTAGGTAACCTTTATTGAGACGAGAAAGGCCAAAGTATAATGAGAAAGTTCGCGCATGATAGATGAAGCATGTTTGATGTTTCTGAAAGAACGTAAAACGATAAATAAGGAACATGAACTCCATTGTTAATCCAGAGATCGTTATGTTATACGTAACCTTCTGGATAAACAGAGCAAAACGTAACCGATAGAAAACGTGTAATGAAAATAAGGCTCAAATATAAGCTCATTTATAAGAACGAACTTTGTCAATTACGATATGTGACCGATAGAGAATGGACCCTCCATATTTCTCTAAAGCAGAAATTCCTACCTCGGGCTATTGTCAGAGTCACTGTGTATACATATATGTCGACTATGCCGGCCTTAGTTCCTTATTCCCTATAAAATTATACATTACATCTGACAATCGACATTTGAGAAGTTTTCGTGAGCTTCGTTTCTCTCTACTTCCATAGCTGAGTATAGTAAGCACGACCTACGAAAGCGGGTCAACTTTTGCCGAATAATCACTTCTTAATCAAATCCTGATGTACCGAAAAATGACGCGACTAACCAGAGAGCTACAGGGTGTTGTGGCGATACTTAGGATTCCCGAATACCAACCACAGGATACCGAGGCACTTTTCCCATTAAATGTTTCTTCACTGTCAAATCACACGACGTTCCGTCATTTTTTTACTTTTGCTGTTGCGCGAACCAAATCATATATATATATATTTATATATACTACTCGAAAGGATTCCGTCTGTTTAAGAAAGTTCCGAGCGTAACGCGACCACCCTCCTGAAAACTCCGTACGGCTTTGATCGGTTTTATAACTTTGATGGCGACGGGTACGCTCGAAGCGACGCCTGGTGATCATGTTCCAGATGCGCTGGCTATCCCCTCTTTTCAATCGAGCATCCCGATTACCATCACTGTGACCAGTGACTACCTCGTGTAGGGCACATAAGAAACTTGATCTTTTGTCAATAGGACGATATTGGAATACAAATATTTTAAATTATATTACATAAAATTACGAAACATACTTGTCTACTGAATTCAATAGTTACGACATAGTATTGTATACATCTTAGACATTAATACAAATAAAATATTGTTTTTTTATCATTTAACGTCGATCATAAATTTTATGTTTCTAATAAATTTACAGTTTCATTATTAAACTTCAATATTACAATTATCTTCAAACTTTAAACATTTGATTAGATTGTACGGCACCTTTAATAAATTTTAATAAATTAATAAATGTTACTTAATAGTCATATCATAAATCAATAATTTAAAGGTGAAAGTTATAGTTTTATACGATTCAAAGCGAAGTTGCTTTATTTTTCTCCTTTATCTTCACAATCAACATTAACATGCCGTTACATTTACATTTGCACATGATTCACATGATGGTATTTATTATTATTAACACTTAAATACTGGAATGAGAAATCGTATTGAATTTGTATTATAAAATTATAAAAGATAAATTATTATTTACATTACAGTTCACTGTAACTTATACTTGTAAAGGTATAATACATAATGTATAAAAAAATTTATATGCAGTTAGGAACATAATAAATAATAGTACGATTTTTAAAATGCAATAATTTTTTAGGATTGCTACAAACGACTTGAATTTTTTTTAGGAGCTAGAAGGATTAATTTCCTAGATGAAAAGCAACAAATTTTTTTTGTACATTACAGTTGGTCAAAATCGCGAAGAAAATAGTAGCTAAAGATCATTTTTACCATTTTTTTCTCTCACCCTGTAACGAAAATTTAAAAAATCCGTTTTGTAGATCTGTATTAGTTATACACATGCTGAAAAGCGGTTAACCTTGCTATGAGCTACAAACAATTAAAAATGATAAAAATAGCAGATTTCTGCAATTTTATTTATTACTCTACGGCCTATAACTGTGATAACTCTACATTTTGTTCATCTTTCGATGCCTATTGCTTGTTTCTGCATCAACCGATTTCGGTGAAATTTTAGGCATATGTGTGAAGGATATAAATCTACAACACGTATTTTTTAAATTTTCGTTACAGATTCAGATAAAAAAAGTTGTAAAAATGACCTTAAGTATTTTCTTCGCTACTTCGAGCAACTGCAATTTTTTCATAAATGTTTCTAAATCTCGTCTAGTAAACTAATCCTTCTAGCTCCCCACAAAAGTTCAAGACTTTTGATCAAATTTTGAATAAGTTATTCTGTTTTAAATAGAGTACCAACATTTATGTTTCCAACTGTATATTTTAATATGAAACAGTTCACGACGTGTCTAAATAAAAATACATAAATACTTAAAAAATTTTTCTTAATCCAAAAAAATCACATTTTTAATATAAACAGTAAAAAAAAACAGTACTTAATTAATTCTTATGTTCTACGATATAAAACGAATCGAACTAAAAACTTACATAACGATCGATATTGATAAATTATTATTACCTAAAAAGGAAAAACTGTTTTAATAATAACTGTGTAACATATTTGTTAACTACAAAGCATTTGCCTCGTTAATATTTTGTAAGTATACTTCCGTATTTTGTTTTCATTCTTGTGTACATGTAATTGATAACTAAAGATAATTAAATAAAATAGCTTATAATTAACGTAAATAAAACTATATTTATAGCTATAAACCATCTCTCTAAATACATATGTACTATTATTAACACATTGTATCAATACGTCTTGTGTTACCCAAATTACCTGGGGGTGTATACAAATGTATTTAGATAAATCCCTCTGTCAGAAATCTATTAAAATATACATATTTAAATTATATATATATATATAATAAAAACAGTCGTTTTTTTAATGCTCAATCACTACGACTTGTTACAATATTTTCTTTATCATTTGATGTTAAAACTTTATTTATGGTTACAACTGAGTTAAATTTTCTACTATGTATCTAAAGAATAAAAATTAGATATTATTATAATATTTCAAATTATGTAACTTTTATTCGCCTTTACATCGCTTAAACCTACACTTATATACATATTTACTTATTTAATATATAATCACATTATTTTATACACTAGACAATGTAGCATACCTTTTCTATGTAATATGCATATTTCATTACAATGAAAATATGTAACATATATAATAAAATGATATTTTATAACTAAGGGTATTATTTATTACTGTCGTAATTAGAAAAAAAAAGGAAAAATAGTGAAATGAATTATAAATTATATCATAGTTAATTTCATTCACAAATCAAACTACATGTTTAAATGATCTATTTCAGTGAAATTATTATGACATCTTCATGACTCTTTGAGTATTTCACTTCCTTTATAAAATTTAAAAAATTTATGGAAGGTGATTCATGTGAATTAGTTTATGATACTTTCCATTGATGACAACAATGAATGATGAGGAACTCTTCTCATATGTCTTAACAAATACTTTTTACTGCCGTAAGTTCTTTTACAATAATGACAAGGAAATCCAAGTCCATAATGATATGCTTCATGCCTGGACTTCATAACATCATAACATTTGTTATTACATATAGAACAGGTGGTTACTTCATGATCAGTATCAAAATGTATTTTACGAGATGTGGTATTAGAGAATCGTTTAGAACAATAAAAACATTGAAATGGTACTACAGGATCAGAATGTTTATGCTTAATATGTTCATCAAACTTTTTATATGTGTTTAGAATGTCACTGCAATGATGACACTTAAGCTCCATTGGTACAAATATAAACCGTTTTCCTTCATTAACAGAACACCAATGCTTATTCCATGCAATAGCATTAGGAAGACTAACTTTACAGTATCCACATAACAGTTGTGATCTTGAATGATGTTTATTAGTATGAATCTCGAGAGCTTTCTTAGTATAAAATTTAGAACCACATACACAAATATTATATCTTTTAGCAAAATTTACTGTAACACTATTAGATTGTTTGTCAAGTTTTGACTTAACATCCTTTTTGTAAGATATATTATTTGGTTCCGCATTCGTTTCTTGTTGCTTTTCTTCTTTGCACAAATTACTTACTATTTCACTTGAGGAACCAGAAATAATATCATTATAGGGATTGGTTGGTGAATCTTCTTCAATGTCAATATCAATATTTTCATCAGCAGATTGGATCTTCAAAATACTATGTTTCTCACTATATTTAGATAATTTTAGAACTTCATTAGACACATTAGAATCTTTTGGATGATTGAAATCTTGTAATTGTAATCTTGTAACATTATCTTCACTTGTATTATCTTTGTCAATAATTTCATACGAATCATTCTTTTTCTTTATTGTTATGTTAATTCCAAGCCCAGAATCTCTACCAGAACCACTTCTTGTATCATATCGACTTTTTCTATTTACATTACTTTCTATTATTGGTTGCTTCACATCATTTGTGATAGTACATGTTTTTTTATGCATAAACAATGTATAGGGATTACGAAATATTCTTCCACATAAACAAATATGTTTATGTTTGTCATAATATTTTATATCTGATATATTGTCACTCGTATTCTCATTTTGCATAATTTTCTCTTTATTTTTATGGAATTCAGAATTATCATTATTTGTATATTCAAAAGGCGTGCGCATAGAACTGAATTTCGATTGTAAGTATATTGGAGAATTGAAATATCTGTTTGTGGATAAATGGAAATTTTCTTTCGTTTCTCCACGGCTACGATGAATACGTATATGTTCATAAAAACTCCTCAATGTATAAATACCAAGGCATATGTCACATTGACGAGGGCTTTGCCTGCGTTTCCTACATAATTTTTGTCTTTTATTTTGAATAACATGTTCTTTTCTAATAAGCTTACCCACAGTTTCGTTTTCGTCATTAGAAAATTTTCTTTTTAATTTATTGCTTTTTAAGACAGTACATGTTTCATTTAAATTCTTTAACATAAAATCAGGGGATTCGATTTTATGATAATCAGTTAAGTGTTTTCTTATATTCCTTACAACCTGTTGACACAATGTGCATGTTGATAAGGCTGTAGAATTCCGTGTACAGATTACTTTTTCATTTTGTCTTACTTCTTTAGTTAATTTCTTTTCTTGTTCATTTTGCGTAGCTCCATTGATATGAATATCATTATTATTGCGTACAAGACTATTAGATTTACTTCTTCTTGAATGAAGATTTGGGACAACTTTATTATTATTATTTGATGACGACACATATTGTAACAATGAAGCCTCAGTATGTAATTTATTTTCACTTTTCTTTAATGAAACCTTTTCAAATTTATCTTCCTCTTTCTCAACAATATTAGGATCTTTTTCTTTCACTTTATCAGGATTTTTGAGATATCGTCTTGGTGCTATATAAACACCATGTACTTTCTCTGAATGATATCTCAACCTCCGATTTTCAGTATATTGCCTTCCACATATAGAACAATGAAATAACTTTTTTTTGGATTTCACATAAAATTTAAAATTTGGCAATTCCGTGTTGTTGTTACCTAATACTGGTTGGTATTCGATATATAATGGTTTTGAAGTTGTTATTTCCGACGGCAGTGCATTAGATGTATCAATCTTAGTTGTACCTTGCACATTTTTTATAACTTTTAGTGTTTCCCATATTTTATCACATCTTTCAAGTAAAATAATGGGATCTTTTATTTTATATGGAATAGTCAAAGGAATTGATGTTACCTCTCCTTCCTAAAATTACGAAACACATAAAAACTGTTATATATGTACACGAGTTTCTATTTCATTAATATTTTACTTAAATAAAATTTATATTGTTATAATAAATAGTATAAAGTACAGTTTAATATCCTTC